CACCAGGCTCTATCAGACCAGCAAACCTGGTCCCTCTTTTTTTTTTTTCCCAAATGCTTTTGAGTTTTGTTCCACATTGTTCTCCCTCTCTATCCAGGGTCCCCTACATAGAGCCTCCTCTGAGTGGTTGACATTGGTAGCCAGGTACCATCTAGTTCTTCTGGTCTCATAATCATATATGCTGAGGCTCGCATGGTATCCCAGTCTCTAGGACTAATTCTTTCCATGAATCTTTGGTTTTCTTCATTCTTCTTGGTGCTGGATGAGGAGAGACCAATCATTGCATCTAGATGGCTGCTTGCAGGCTTTTAAGATCCCAGTTGCTACTCGCCACAGTGGGAGGTAGAACAATATTTTGTGTAGTATGTTATGCTAATTGAGCTTGATGTCCCCTGTGACTATGGTCCTGAGCCCACAGGTTCAACTACTCGGTCTTCTGCCCATTTTTTTAAATTTGATTGTTTGTCTTTTTGTTGTTGAGGTATTGGAGTTTTCTTTAAATTTTCGAGTTAAGTCCCTTTTCATATATGTCACTGCTGAATATTTTTTCCCAAGCTATAGGTTCTCTAATTACTCTTTTGGAGGAGTCTTTTGAAGCACATAAAAATTTAATTTTTAGAAGGTCCCAATCATCTGGCTTCTCTTCTGCTGTTGGTGCATTTTGAATTATGCTTGCTAATCTATTTATGCCATACATTTTGGCCCCTAAGTTTGCCCCCATTTTCCTTTGATGAACTTTATAGTTTTAGGTTTCACATTTAAGTCTTTGATCCATCCAGAGTTACTTTTGTGTATGATGTGAGGTATGGATCTTGTTTCATTTTTTCTGCGAATGGACATCTAGTTTTGCCAGCACCATTTGTGAAAGACACTATCTCTTCCCCATTTAATGGATTTTGGCCCTTTGTCAAAGGTCAGCTGACCATAGTGGATAGATCTATTTCTGGATTCAGTTCTGTTCCACTGGTCTATGTGTCTGTCATTGTACCAATACCAGGCTGTTTTAATTACTGTGGCTGTATAGTAGTAGGTTTTGAGATTGGGGAGTGAGATCACCTATTTTGTTTTTCTTCTTCTTCAATAGTGCTTTGCTTTTCCAAGGTCTCTTTCCTTTCCATTTAAAATTAGTGATTGGTTTTTCCATATCCTTAAAGAATGCTGATGGAATCTGAAATCTCATATAGCTACTTCTTAAAAGAGGATATTGTTCAAGGCAGACCTTTTTTACTACTTAGGCTAAACTGTTGTTGAGTTTTAATTTGACTTCAGGGGACGTTTTTGGTTTCAGGTTTAAAGAATATATTGGGAAATAGTTTCAGCCCGTTTCTCCTCAGATCCCTTTGTTGCTTGCATGCACCATGTATCGTGTGCCGGGTCATTCCAGTTCACTAACCACTCACAATTGGCCAACCAATTTACAGTTGCCTAGCCAGGCTGTTCAAGGAGTTGATTGAAGCAGAAATTCACTCTGCTGAAAACACACATGCACACACACACAGTTACTCCAAGAAAAGGTTCAGGAAATTATTCCAAGGTTTTGACTTTGTACTGCTTGGCAACACAAGCTCTCCATGCCTTCCCCCAGAGTAAGAAGAGATTGAAATTATACTTTATTTAAAAACTTACCAAAAACAAAAGATGGATAGAAATATCCTGAAAGTTATTCTGAACATGAAGCAGAGTAGAAGGAAAAGGGCTTGAAAAAACAACTCAAATCATGTCTGACTCAGGGCAGTATTTGCACAGGGAGATAGCTCAGGGGGCAAGAATGCATAGGGAGGGATACAAGGAAGAGGTAACTACAGAGCAGAAGTGGAAAGAGAGCTGTTACATTGTGGGGAATTGCAGTCAATGTCACAAAACAAAATATATAGGAACTGCTGTATGGAAAATGAATTTGCTCTGTAAACTTTTATCCAAATCACAATAAAAATTAAAATAAAAAAAAATAATTTAGGGAAAAAAAAACATTGTCTGGCTTGGGCATACAGAAACAATAGAGATATGACCCACACTTGAACTGTTTCTGATGAGAGTCAGAGTGAATGGAGCTTAGGTGAGAAGGTAGCAGCTCTGTCATTGGTCCTCAGTCACCCTCAATCCTATTACCCTATTTCATTTTCTTTAAAACATGTAGCATTCTAAAATGACTGCAGTTATTTGCTATCTTTTATTCCCCACTAGAAGGAGCCATAGTGGCTAAGACACTTGCCTGCTAACCAGACGGCTGGCGGTTCAAACCCACCAGCCACTCCTCGGAAGGAAGGTTGGGCAATCCTACTTCCGTAGTGATACTGCCTCGGAAACCCAAGGAGGGGTCGCTATGAGTCGGGGCCGACTCGACGGCACATAACAACAACAACAACAACAGAAGGAGCCCTGGAGGCACAATGGTTATGTGCTTGGTTGCTAACTGAAGGATCAGCAGTTCAAATCTATCAGCATCTCAGCAGGAAAAAGATAGGCAGTCTGCTTCCATAAAGACGACAAGCCTTGTAACCCTATGGGGCAGTTCTAGTCTATCGCTGGGGTTACTATGAGTCGTGATCAACTTGACTCACATGACAACAGCCAACAACGGCAGCAGCATTTCCCTCTAGAGTATATTCTTGAGGTCAGGAGCTGTATCCATTTTGCTTATGTGTCACCAGAACCTCTAAGAGGTCTTGGCATTTATTAGGGTCTCAGTAAACATTTCTGGAAGGAGTAAATGTATGGCGGAATTTAAAAAAAGGATGGAGGAATTAAATCGGTATATCACACACTGAAAGCCTAATAATTACCTAGTAACTGGAGATTAGAATTTATATCTATACTGCCTTCTAATCTGCCCATTTGTATCCCTGACTTTAATAGTAGTGCAGTTAACTTCCATAGTCTTAATAATTGATTAACGAAAATCCTCACATTGAACTTCTCTTGATTAGTATAAAACAAAGATTTAAAAAGAAAAAAAAAGATTTTGAGTATTAGATTATTAGATTCTGGGATGCTTTTCTATTGTAAATTTGAATGAGGTGAATTTTTATCTGGACAGAAGATAATAGGAAGTGAGATTTCTATTTATTCTACTGTAGGTAAACTCCAGTAGACTTTAAGAGCCAGCTTACAATAACACATACATACAATACAATCATTAAGTAGAAACGTAAGATTTAAAAATGTTATTAGTTGCCATCAAGTTGATTCCAACTCACCGAGCCCTCCTCTGTGCAGAGTAGAAGGGTTTCATAGGGTTTGCAAGGCTACGTCAGAAGCAGATCATCAGACATGTCTTCTGAGGCACATCAGGGTGGATTTGAACCATGAACTCTTTGGCTAGGAGTTGAGGGCTTAACCATTTTTTCCACCCAGGGAAGAGGAATAGAAAAGTAAGTATTGTTCATTCCCAAACCAAGGATAATATTGTTACTACAAACAGACCTGTCTTGGAGGAAGCACAGCTAGAACACTGCTTAGAAAAGAGGATGGAGACTTCATCTTGCTTACTTTGGACATATTATCAGGAGGAACCAATCCCTGGAGAAGGACATCATGCTTGGTAAATTTAAGGGTCAGCAAAAAAGAGGAAGACCTACCTTATGGATTGCCATAGTGGCTGCAACAATGGGCTCAAACATAGCAATGATTCTGAGGATGGTGCAGGACTGGGCAGTGTTTTTGTGCGTGTGTTGTGTGTGTGTGTGTGATTTAGGTGAAAGTTTACAGACCAAATTCCTTTTCCATTCAACAGTTCATACACATTCTGTTTTATGACATTGATGGCAATCCCCACAAAGTAACAGCTGTCTTCCCACTTCCTGCCTGTGGTTACCTTTTCCCTGTGTCGTCCTTTCCTGTGTATTCCTGCCCTGTGAACTGTCTCCCTGTGCAAAAGCTGTCCTTCTGTTCTCCCATGGTTGATTGTTCTAAGGAGTATGCTTACTTGGTGTAATTGTTCACCTTTTAGGCCTGTCCATTGTTTGGCTGGAAGCCATGGGAGTGAGTTCACTTCTAGGCTTGAAGGGTAACTAGAGTTCATAGTCTCAGGGGTTTCACCATTCTCTATCAGACCAGTAAACCTGGTCTTTTTTTGTGATTTTGAGTTTTGTTCCATATTTTCCTCCCACTCTATCCAGGATCTCCAATTTTGATCCTTTTTTTTAGGAGTTGGCAGTGGTAGCTGGGTACCATCTAGTTCTTCTGGTCTCAAGATCATGTAGGCTGAAGTCTGCATGGTCCACTAGTCCCTCAGACTAATTGTTTCCACGTGTTTCTAGTTGTCTTCATTCTTCTTTGCTCTGGACAAGGAGAGATCAATTACATCTTAGATAGCTGCTCACAAGCTTTTAAGAAGCCAGTCTCACCAAAGTAGGATGTAGAACAATGTTTTTGTGTAGTATGTTATGCCAATTGAGCTTAATGTTCCCTGTGACCACAGTCCTGAGCCCGTGGCTCCATCTATTCACTCCTTCAAAGTGTTTGGCCATGGCTAAGAAGTTATCATAACTTTGTCCTGTTAGCTCTGTTATGTATATGGACATTCTTGTAGCACATACAAATATGTATGTAGAACCATCATCTGCCAGACTGTTGTATGGTCATGGGTATATTCCATTTTGTCTACCCATACCTGATCATTTTGTTTGTCTACCAATGTATCCACTTGTAGATTAAGATTTGTTACCACTGATAATGCAGTACTGTATATGTAAAAATGTTTACCTTTGTTGTCTGTACCTCTTGTGCCCCTCTCCTTGTCTTTCTTTTTCTTAGTGTTATTGTGGGCAGTGTTTCATTCTAACATACATGGGGTTGCTATGAGTTGGAATCAACTTGAGGGCACCTAACAACAACATTTTAACTAAGCTTCCTTACAGAGTCCAAAAGGAGAGCTTACTGATTTGTTCTCTAATTCTCCTGAAGGGAGACAGTATTGAATTCTAAAATGAAGACATTTTGGGAGTTTCTCTGGACAGCAAAGTCACAGTTTGGACTTGAGCCTCTTGTTTCTCCCACAGGATCACCCAGTATACTCCGTACCAGGCAGAGGTGTCTCAGGGCAGGCTGGAGAGTTTACTCAACTACCAGACCATGGTGTGTGACATCACAGGCCTGGACAATGCCAATGCATCCCTGCTGGATGAGGCAACAGCAGCAGCTGAGGCAATGCAGTTGTGCCACAGGTGAGGTCAGCCTCAGATGGGGATTCCCTCAGGGTGATGACGTCCTCCGGTCTCTCCTGCCATCCCAGTTAGTCAATGTCCAGTGAAGTCTGTCTATCTACCTGTCTGCCACTTTCTATTTCACTGTCTCTCTCAGGCACACATATACTTGTATGAGACACATTGTATCAGCTAGGGCATTGTTGCTAGCTGCTGGTAACAAAAACAACAGAAATAACAGTGGCTTAAATGAGCCCTTGGAATCACTGGGTGATGCAAACAGTTAACACTGCCCAGCTGCTAACTGAAAGGCTGGAAGTTTAAGTCCACCCAGAGTTGCCTTGGGAGAAAGACCTGGTAATCTGAAAAATCAGCCATTGAAAACCCTATGTTCTATTCTGACATACGTGGCATTGCCCTGTGTTGGAGTTGACTTGAAGGCAACTGACTTGCTGTTAAATAAGCCATTATTGTATATTGCTTAACATTATGTAAGAAAGATGTTTTATTTTCTCTTATGTGTTTTTAGTCGAGGGGTGTATGACAACTCCAAAATACCATCAAAGATCAATGTACCTCTTTCTCTGACTTCTTTAATGTGACCTTTAATGTGAAGCTTTCATCTTCATGGTCACAAGGTGACTGCTGGAGCTCTAGCAGTGACATCTACACTCAGGAAAAAGAAAAGGGAAAGGGTAAAGGGTGCTTATAGCTAAATAATCCCCTGCTAAAAAATTTTATGGAAATTGATATTCAACGTCTGCATTTTGTTGGCCGCCTCTTCTTGCAAATGAGATGGGGAATTTTTTTTTTTTTTTTTAATTTTTTAAGATGGGCACGTGCTGCCCTTTATACATTGGAGTTCTGTTATTAATCATGAAAAGGAGAATGGATAATGGGTAGAAACTAGCAGTTTGTAAAACAGATATAATTATATCCTTTTTTGAAGAGTATCGTTCTTATATCATACTTAATGTTTTAGAGCCTATTATTATTTCCTATTCAACAATATATTGTGAATGTTTTCCATCTCTTCAGTCAGCTTTCTAGAATGTGACTTTTAATGACTACGTGGTAGTACTCACTTGCATAATTTATTTAACCTCATCCCTGTTGGTAGATGTTTGGTTTTTTCTCCCTTTTTGTATACTTATTAGCAATACTTTATGAGTATCCTTTGTCAAAACTTCTGATTATTTCCTGAGGATACATTTTCCCAAGGATACATTTGAAGAAGTGGAATTACCAGATCATGGTGAATAGTTAACAACTACTTCACCTTCCTTAATCCTCTCTGTTGTGTGTACTTTTATGCTTACATTCATAGTACATGTATCTGAGGATTATGCTCCTGAGCCTAGTGCCCATGGAAGCCCCTTTTGGCTTCCAGGGACTAGAGGAGACACACAAAATCACACCACAGGTCTGGAGATCTGCATGTGCCTCCTCAGCCACAGGTTCCTCTGCTTCCTGAGCAGGTGACTCTGAGTGTTGGTTCCGGCTCTCCCTCCATTCCCTGAATTACAGCCACATAGGAATGCCATCTGCCTATCCCTCTAATTATTATTCTCCGCTCTTTACTCATGTCATCTCACTCTTCCTCATTCCCATCCTTTCACATCTCTCCCATCCTCCCTCTGCCTATCTGCCTATTTTTCTGAGCAAAAGCTTTCATTTCATACTTGAGGAAGCTGAAGACATCCTGAGCTGCTTAGTGTTAATGGGCTAATCACATTCTGTAAATGCTTGGCTTGCTTCCATCTGCTAACTTCCATTCCTTTGGGCCTGTACTTAGTCTTACTTTTGAAAGGTAGCCTGAAGAGCTTCATTTCTGGAATGATAGTTATCTGGCCTTTTATGTAAAAGGGTAAAATCCCTTTTTTTTCTATGGAAACTCCACTATGAAAAAATGCAAAAGAGTTTTAAATAACAGTGGAATTTTACTTTATTAGGAAAACTGTATTGTTTGGTACTGAAGGAAGAAGTTGAAGCTACACTGAAGGAACTGACGAAAAACAAGCCTCCAGGAATTGAAGAATAGTCATTGAGATATTTCAACAAACAATGCCACACTGGAGGTCTTACTCATGTATGCCAAGAAATTTGGAAGACAGTTACCGGGCCAACTGATTGGAAGAGATCTGTATTTGTACCCATTCCAAAGAAAGGTGATCCAACAGAATGTGGAAATTCTGATATTGTGAACAATATCATTAATATCACAAGCAAATAAAATCTTGCTGAAGATAATTCAAAAACGATTGCAGCTGTTTGTTGACAGGGAACTTGCAGAAATATATGCTGGATTCGGAAGACAACGTGGAACAAGGGATATCATTCCTGATGTCAAATGGTTCTTGACTGAAAGAAAAGAATAACAGAAAGATGTTTACTTGTGTTTTATTGACTATGCAAAAACATTTGACTATGTGGAACATAACAAATTATGGATAACATTAAGAAGAATGAGAATTCCAGAACACTTAATTGTACTCATAAGGAACCTGTACATAGACCAGGAGGCTGTTACTTGAACAGAACAAGGGGATACTACATAATTTAAAATCAGGAAAGGTGTGTGTCAGGGTTGTATCCTTTCACCATACTTATTCAATCTCTATACTGAGCAAATAATCCAAGAAGCTGGACTATATGAAGAAGAACGTGGCATCAGGATTGGAGGAAGACTCATTAACAACCCGTGATATGCAGATGACAAAGAAGTGTTTGTTGGAAGTGAAGATGACTTGAAGCACTTACTGATGAAGAGTAAAGACTATAGTCTGCAATATGGAGGATACCTCAACGTAAAGAAAAGGAAAATCCTCCAAATGGACCAATAACCATCATCATGATAAATACAGAAAAGATTGAAGTTATCAAAGATTTCATGTTACTTGTGTCCACAATCAACACCAATGGAAGCAGCAGTCAAGAAATCAGATCTTGTATTGCACTGGGAAAATCCGCTGCTGAAGACCTCTTTAAAGTGCTGAAGAGCAAAGATGTCACTTTGAAGACTAAGGTGCACCTAACCCAAGCCATGGTATTTGCAATCACCTCATACACTTGTGAAAGCTGGACAGGAATAAAGAAGACCAAAGAAGAGTTGATGCTTTTGAGTCGTGGTGCTGGAAATAATAACCAAAGTACCATGGGCTGCCAGAAGAAAGAACAAATCTGTCCTGGAAGAAGTGCAGCTGGAATGCTCCTTGGAAGCAAGAATGGCCAGACTTCATCTCATCTACTTTGGTCATGTTGTCAGAAGGGACCATTCCCTGTAGAAGGATATCATGCTTGGTAAAGTGGAAGGTCAGCAAAAAAAGGGAAGGCCCTCAACAAGATGGATTGACCCAGTGGCTGCAACAATGGTATCAGGTATAGCAAGGATTGTACATAGGATCACTATGAGTCAGAGCCAACTCGAGGGCACCTAACAACAACAACAACAACAGGAAAGCTATATGTTTTAAACACTGTTGAGAGGCTTTGTGCTTTTTTTATCTTAAGCATAGTTTAAAAAAAAAAAAAGTGGTGTTTTTGTCTCCATCTTAAATGACTTAGGCTTTAAAAAAAAAAAAAACCTGCCTCCAAGTTAATTCCAACTCATGACCCTGTAAGATAGAGTAGAACTGCCCCATAGGGTTTCTGAGGTTGTAAATCTTTGTGGAAGCAGATTACCCCATCATTCTCCCCTAGAGCATCTAGTGGGTTTGAACTGCTGAACTTTTGGTTAGCAGCCAAATGCTTTAACCACTGCACACTCATTATTTAGGTTTAGATAGCTCTTTTTTCCAGACTTGTTTAGATTTAAGCTGCAAATAGCATTGCACATTTGATAATTAACTGCTTTCTTATCTCCTCCACTCTACGTATGCCTCTGTTAAATGTATTTTTTGTTATAAATTTTCACAGTGAAAATGCTAATGGTAGAGAAGGATATAATGAAAAGTAACCTACTCTTCTCCACTCCACTTTTCAAAGCCACTGTTAACTGTTCTTTGTGTGTCTTTTTGGGAAATTAAATGGAATAGCACAATGTCCAACTACCCACTGCCTTTGTTTTTACTCAGATGTGTTCATAGTATCTGAACTGTTGGCCTTCCTTATCCATTTTGTTTCCTGAAATCACGGGAGAAAAGAGGATGCCCAGACTTTGGCATCATATTTGGTGAAATAGAGGGCCAGTGAGGGAACCTTTGATGTGCTGAATTGGCATAATAGTCACAGCAATGGATTCAAATGAGCCAGCAATCATGAGGATGATTCAGGACCGGGAAGTTTTGTTTGGTTACGCATAAGGTCATCGTGAATCAGAGTCACTTAGACGGCAGCTACTCATAAAACGTAAGAGACTTTTATTGTCAACAGAACATGTAGGGATTATCTAAGGCAAGCATCCTCAGTCAACAGAAGAGGAAATGGACTCAGAATGGTTGTGATATGTGTTAGGCCACATGGCTATGGAAGGAGCAGAGTTGGGTCTAGCGATTGATCCCTCCTGATGATATACCCAAAGCAAGCAAGTCAATGTTCTGTTGTGTTCCATAAGATTTTCATTGGCTAATTTTAGATAGCCAAACTTTTCCTCCTGGTCTGTCTTAGTCTAGAGGCTCCACTGAAACCTGCCCACCATAGGTTTCCCTGCTAGTATTTGAAATAACGGTGGCATAGCTTCCAACGTGATAGCAATGTGTAAGACACCACAGACTAACAGCTGGATGATGGGAATGTTTTTATTAGAACAATAAATTTTGATTTTCATTTGTACCTAAGCACTAACCTTTTCTTTCTTTTCCTCTTAATACATATTTTTAAAAGTTTTGAACTATTTTAAGTCTGATTTTGCTGAAAGAGGTTAGACTAGGAATTGAATTAATTGGGATTCTCTTTACTAAGTACCACTAATCATTAATGACTCTATTTTTCATACTCTGCTCAAACTTTCCCTAAGTGCCATCTTTGCTTTGTGTTCTTAGAAGATACCCTAATTCCTTTTATGCTCATATTTGAATGTAATTTTTTCTTTAAAACAGATACAACAAGAGGAGGAAATTTTTTGTTGACCCTCGTTGCCACCCACAGACAATAGCTGTCGTCCAGACTCGAGCCAAGTAATTAATTCTATTCGTGTTTTGAACTCAGGGGTACTATGGTCATCTCTACTGTTTCTCTTTCTCACTTCCAAACTGATTGGAGGTGAGGCTGGTTTTTTGCTACTGTTGTGTTTTATTTTCGATCCTCTTCTACCATCTGATCTACCCTCCTACTTTCTTCCTTGGATCTCTCTGGTGCGTGAATTGTGTCCAAATTCAGGGGAGAATACGTGGGGACTTTGGTTGCCCTTGCTTCATAGTTAGGTATCATGTTGCCTTTGCTTTCTTCCTGTAAAGCATTAATTAAAGCTATGAAAGTAATTGCAACAGTGCCTCAGAAACTTTGAAAATCAGAGGGAGAAAATGGAATCCGCATACAAGTGTTAATGATTATATGTGTATTCCCTGCAAACATAGATTACAGGGAATCCACACAATACCATGGTGTAGTATGATGTACAGAGAGAAGTATATGATATCTATTCATCAGATAAAACCAATCCAACACTACTCCCCTTTGGAGGGTACATTTATTTGCTTTCTCCTTTATAAAAGCTGGTCAATCTTCCCCCTCATCCCATCCCACTATCCCTTCAGAGGGAATTTCTGACACATAATGGGAATGAGATGATTTCAAGAATCTAAGGAAAATCTTCCTTCTTGTCTTGTTTCCGTTCACCTAAGACTGGTCTCAGGTGAAAGTGGTTATGCGTCTGTTGTTTCAGGTATCAGGTTGTTTAGCCCAAGTCTTCTCTGAGGAACAGCTTCTGAGAGGAAGTGGGGAGGGAAAGTGGTAAGGATAGAAAGAAAAATGGACTGAGCTGTTAGGATGCACTGGTATGAAGGACTGCTGTCCTGATGGGCCAGGTATGGGATGAAGTAGATGTAGGGGGTGTGGGGAGGTGGAGGATTGAGAGGGGTGCACAGAAAATTAATGATGTATCACTGAAAAGAAGCTGTAGGTGACTCGCTTTCTGTTTGTAAATGGAAAGTATTGCTGTCCTTTGTCTCTTTTCCTTCCAGATATACTGGAGTCCTCATTGAACTGCAGTTACCCTATGAGATGGACTTCAGTGGCAAAGACATCAGTGGAATCCTGTTCCAGTACCCTGACACTGAGGGGAAAGTGGAAGACTTCACAGAACTTGTGGAGAGAGCCCATCAGAGTGGGGTAGGAAAACCTCACTTCGTGGGGGCCTACTGAGCTGTCTCCCAGTTTGGGATTTATTTTTATTTTCAATTTCCTTACCTTTATTACATAGAATGATAAAAACTCTCTCCTTCCTATCTCCTTTCTTTAAATTTGCTTCATTCACTGATTTTCTAGCACATGGTAGGTACACAGTAAATATTCCCTGAATGAATGAATGAGTAGATAAAGTTCACAGAATATTGCGACCCAACTCTGACAGTCTGTCTGTGAGATCATTTTTCTACTTGCCTACTACTCCTAGGGGAAGGTAACAACATTGTCCATTTTTCTGTCATCTCATTTTCAGAGCCTGGCCTGTTGTGCTACGGACCTTTTAGCCCTGTGTATCTTGAAGCCTCCTGGAGAATTTGGGGTGGACATTGCCCTGGGAAACTCACAGAGATTTGGGGTACCCTTGGGCTATGGGGGACCCCACGCAGCCTTTTTTGCTGTCAGAGAAAACTTGGTGAGACTGATGCCGGGGAGAATGGTCGGGGTGACAAGGTAATGTTTCTCATGTTTCTGCCTTTGTATTGTGGTGATGGTTTCTCTACATCTTGCCCTGATTACAACCTATTGCTCTGAATTTAACTGGGCCATATTGGGTCCATTAAGGAAGTGCCTAACACAGACTTAGAAGAGAGACTCTGTTTAGGGTATGAATTAGTGTTGTTATTGTTAGCTGCTGTCAAATTGGCTCCCATTCATGGCATGCCTATGTACAACAAAATGGAATGTTTCCCAGTTCTGCACCATCTTCACAATTGTTGGAGACCATTGTTGTGGCCACTGGGTATCCTGAGTGCCTTCCAACATTAGGGGCTCATCTCCAGGTACTATATAGGACAGTATTGTGTTGTGATCCATAGGGTTTTTTATTTTTTTAAAATGCAATATAGAAACTTTATTAAACAAAAGTTAACAGGTAAAATCAAATAGGCACTTATATTAAAAGAAAAACTGACTAGAAGAAAAATTTTTTCTGACACACCTTACAGTAATCTACTTGCAGTTGCATTTAACTGAGTTCTGTTGTGAAGAATACAGCTCATGCCCAGGTATGGATGGATGATTTGTATGTCTTTCAAGTATTCACTGAGTTCTACAGTATATACACATATACATTAAATTTGAAAAGATTTCAATGGCAATCCCCAGAGAGTCCTCATTTTTGTCGATCTCTTGGCAGAGGTCATCTATAGAAAAGAATATATGGTTCTGGTTTATGAATCATGTAATACATCTAGCCTAGACTCAGTTGAACACCAAGAATCCTCCACTCCTCTTCAGACATTAGATGGGTTTGGGGGACTTGTTTGGAAAGTTCTCTGGGTAACATGCCATGCCAGTATTCGTAACACTCTCTGAAGTATTGAGTAGTGCATCTGCTTGTGGGCCATCCTGCAAGCACCATAGTGGGACAGGTAGGTCAGAGAGCAGGAACAGCAAACCCAATGACCGTGCCAGGCTAAAGCAATGACACAAATCACCCATAGATTTTTTTTTGTTGTTGTTAATTTTCAGAAGGAGATCACCATGCTTTTTTTCTTAGTCTGTCTTAGGCTGGAAGCTTTGCTGAAACCTGTCCATCATGGGTGGCCCTGCTAATATTTGAAATACTAGTGGCATAGCTTCCAGCATTATAGCAACATGCAAGCACAGTATAACAAAATGACAGATGGGTGATGGACTAGCACATCTTCTTAAATGCTATAATTTTGTACATGTTTGGAAAAGTGTGTGTATAATTTATAACTTATTAGTGCTAAAGTTAGATAAATAAATTTATTTGTGGTTGTTGTTGTTTAGGTGCCAACGAGTCAGCTCTGACTCATAGTGACCCTGTGTACCACAGAACAAAATACTGCCCAGTCATGTGCCATCCTCACAATCCTTGCTATATTTGAGCCCATCATTGCAGCCACTGTGTCAATCCATCTCATTGAGGCTCTTCCCCTTTTATGCTGACCCACCATTTTACCAAGCATGATACCCTTTTCCAGGGAATGTTCCCTTCTAACAACATGACCAAAGTAGGTGAGACAAAGTCTGGCCATTCTCACTTTCAAGGAGCATTCCAGCTGCACTTCTTCCAGGAAAGCTTTGTTCATTCTTCTGACAGTTCATAGCACTTTCAGTATTCTTTGCCAGCATCACAACTCAAAAGTATCAACTCTTCTTTGGTCTTCCTTATTCATTGTCCAGCTTTCATAAGTGAATGAAATGATTGAAAATACCATGGCTTGGGTTGGGAATGCCTTAGTCTTCAAAGTGACATCTTTGCTCTTCAGCACTTTAAAGAGGTCTTCTGCAGCAGATTTGCCCAGTGCAATACAAGATCTGATTTCTTGACTGCTGCTTCCATTGGTGTTGATTGTGGACCCAAGTAACATGAAATCTTTGACAATTTGTCTTTTCTCCATTTATCATGATGCTGCTTACTGGCCCATTTGGAGGATTTTCCTTTTCTTTATGTTGAGGTGTAATCCATACTTCAGACTGTAGTCTTTAATTTTCATCAGTAAGTACTTCAAGTCATCTTCACTTTCAGCGAGCGAGGTTGTGTTCTCTGCATATCACAGGTTGTTAATGGGTCTTCCTCTAATCCTGATGCCATGTTCTTCTTCATATAGTCCAGCTTCTTGGATTATTTGCTCAGTGTACAAATTGAACAGGTATGGTAAAAGGATATGACCCTGACACACACCCTTCCTGATTTTAAATCATGCAGTGTCCCCTTGTTCTGTTCAAATGATAGCCTTCTGGTCAATATACTTGTTCCTCATGAGCACAATTAAGTGTTCTACAATTCCCATTCTTCTTAATGTTATCCATAATTTGTTATGATCCACATAGTCGAATGCTTTTGCATAGTAAATAAAACACAAGTGAGCGTCTTTCTGGTATTCTTACTTTCAGTCAAGATCTATCTGACATCAGGAATGATATCCCTCATTCCACATTGTCTTCTGAATCCTGCTTGCATTTCTGGAAGTTCCCTGTCAATATACTGCTACAACCATTTTAGAACTATCTTCAGCAAAATTTTACTTGTGTTTGATATTAATGATATTGTTTGATAATTTCCACATTCTGTTAGATCACCTTTCTTTGGAATGAGTACAAATATGGATCTCTCCCAGTCAGTTGGCCAGGTAGCTGTCTTCCAAATTTCTTGGCATAGATGAGTAAGTGCCTCCAGCATGGCATCCGTTTGTTGAAACATCTTGATGGGTATTACATCAATTCCTGGAGCCTCATTTTTTGCCAATTCCTTCAGTGTAGCTTGGACTTCTTCCTTCAATATCGTTGGTTCTTAATCATATGCCACCTCCTGAAATAGATGAACGTCAACTACTTCTTTTTGGTACAGTGACTTGTGTGTGCTTTCTGTCTTCTTTTGATGCTTCTTGCATCATTCAATATTTTGCCCATAGAGTCTTTCAATGTTGCAACTTGAGGTTTGAATATTTTCTTCAGTTCTTTCAGCTTGAGAAACACTGAGTGTGTTCTTCCCTATTGGTTTCCTTACTCCAGGTCTTTGCACATTTCATTGTAATAATAGACTTTGTCTTCTTGAGCTGCTCTTTGAAATCTTCTGTTCAGCTCTTTTATCTTGTCATTTCTCCCATTTGCTTTAGCTACTCTCTGTTCAAGGGCAAGTTTCCAAGTCTCTTCTGACATCCATTTTTGTCTTTTCTTCCTTTCCTGTCTTTTTAATGACTTTTTGCCCTCTTCATGGATGATGTTCTTGATATCATCCCACCATTCATCTGGTTTTCGGCCATTGGTGTTCAATGAGTCAAATCTGTTCTTCAGATGGTCTCTAAATTCAGGTGAGATATATTCAAGATCATAGTTTGGTGCTCATGGACTTGTTTTAATTGCCTTCAGCTTCAACTTGAACTTGCACATGAGCAGTTGATGGTCTTTTCCACAATCAGCTCCTGGCTTCATTTTGGCTGAAGATAGTGAGCTTCTCATTGCCTCTTTCCACAGATATAGTTGGTCTAATTCCTGTGTATTCTTGGTGAGGTCCATGTGTATAGCTGCTGTTTATGTTGTTGAAAAAAGGTATTTTCTATGACTAAGTCATTAATGTTGCAAAATTCTATCATGTAATCTCCGAAGTCATTTCTATTGCCAAGGCCATATTTTCCAACTACTTATGATTCTTCTTTATCTCCAACTTTTGCATTCCAATCACCAGTAATAATCAATACATCTTGATTGTATGTTTGGTCAATTTCAAACTGCAGAAGTTGGTAAAAATCTTCAATTTCCTCATCTTTGGCTTTAGTGATTGGTGTGTAAATTTGACTAATAGTAGTATTAGCTGGTCTTCCTTGTAGGCATATGGATATTACCCTATCACTGACAACATTGTTCTTCAGGATAGATTTTAAAACATTTTTTTTTGTGATGATGAATGCTACACCATTCTTCTTTAATTTGTCATTCCCAGCATAGTAGATCATATGACAGTCTGATTCAAAATGGCTAAAACCAGCCAGTTCAGTTCACTAATGCCTGTGATATCAATTTTATGTGTTCCTTTTCATTTTTAACAACTTCCAATTTTCCTACATTCCTACTTCATACATTCCATGTTCTAATTATTAATGGATGTTTGCAGCTGTTTCTTCCCATTTTGAATCATGCCCCCATCAGCAAACAGGGGTCCTTAAAGCTTTACTCCATCCACGTAATTAAAGTTAGCTCTACTCTGAGGAAGCAACTCTTCCCTCATTGGATTTTGGGTGTCTTCCAACCTGAGAGGCTCATCTGGTACTATATGAGACAATGTTTCAGGGTTATTCATAAAGTTTTTTTTTCATAAAGTTTTCCAGTAATGTATTAGACACTGTTTCACTCCTGTTTATAAAATTTTCGCCAGCCAGTTCTCTGAAAAGTGGATGGCCCCTTCCTTCTTCCTAGTCTCTCTTGCTCTAGAAGCTCTGCTGAAAACTGTGACCATGGGTGACCCTACTGGTATTGGAAATACTGGAACCATAGACTCTAGCCTCACAGCAACATACAAGCCACTACCATATGACAAACTGACAGATGAGAAGTGACACTATAGACTAGCACATCTTCTCAACTTCTTCTATAACTTTGTACATGTTTAGAAAAGTTTGTGTATAGTTTATAATTTATTAGTACTGAAGTCAGAGAAATAAATTTATTTAGGTTAACGAAAGCTCTGAGAAGTTGAACATCATAGGTGTATTTTATATCTAACCAGTTTCTTTCTCAGAAGTGTTGTCATGCCACACAGTTCTGTAAAGGTAAGCATGATGAGGACTTGTGAATGTACACTCAGTGTGAGCCACATGATTTCCCAGGGGCTTATGCCACTCACCATCCAAGTAACTTCCAATGTACTTTCTCGAGTGCTTCTATTGATGAAGCTTTTTAGATTAAGAATTTATTGTTATTATTATTTGAGAAATGAAGGAACTCTGATGGTGTAGTGGTTAAGATATTTGGATGCTAACCAGAAGGTTAGTGGTTCAAACCCACCAATTGCTCCATGGAAGAAAGATGAGGCAGTCTGCTTCTATAAAGATTTACAGCTGTGGAAACCCAATCGGGCTTTCTGTGAGTTAGAATCTACTTGATGGCAGTGAGTTTGTTTTATTTTTTTATTAGGGAAATGGAGCATGATCTTTTGGACTTATCATAATAGCTGGGCTATTAACATAAGTGAAAAGTCCAATTTAGTGAATGATGTGGCATGAATTTTTGAAATGCTCTCTATTTGTCAGATGAAAACAAAAAGTCCTTTGTTTTTTAATGTAAAAATAAAAGATTCTTCAAGTTTTACATTAGTTTCTTCTATTAATGCTCTTCACCAGATGAGATGTGGAGGATGCTTTCCAATGAAAAACTTTAGATTAATTATTGTGTGTTCATTTCTAAATAGGATGTCTTACCTTTCTGAAAAATGGACCCAAGAGTTTGGTGAAACTTGAATCTTTGTTTCTTCAAGACTTTTTTTTTTTTTTTTTTGAAGCAGCAGCAAATTTTTTAGAGGGACTTAAATTAAAAATAGATTTACACCATGATTAAAAAATATATGAGAGCACAAAAAATCACAAAAAATTCAGATCCTTAAAGATTTCCCTTTTTTTTCTTTCTTCTTTCTTCAAGTATTTGAATTGTATTAGAAAGGGAAACATTTTATATTGGACACACATGGTAATATGTATAAACATCTTTTGTTTTAATAGCCATATAGTCATTTTAGAATTCCAGTACAGGAATTCTGCCTCCTATTTGAGATATGTCCCTTTTTCCTGTGTCTGGCAAGAAGCTCAGAGAAAAATTTCATCTTTAATCACCAGCATTGCATTACACTAGGCAATTACTGGGAAAATTTCTTTCAAGTTTCTCAGGCTTGCATATATATATAGTTGTTATTGTTAGGTGCTGTCAAGTTGGTTTCAAGTCACAGAGACTGTATGTACAACAGAATGAAACATTGGTCATTGGTCAGTCCTGCATTATGCTCACAGTCATTGCTATGTTTGAGCCCACTGTTGTAGCCACTGTGTCAATCCATCTCATTGAGGGTTCTTCCCGTTTTTTGCTGATCCCCTTATTTACCAAGCAAGCATTTATTCCTTCTGTAGGGACTGGTGTCACGTTATCAACGTGACCAAAGAACATAAGACAAAGTCTCACCATCCTCTCTTCTAAGGAACTGTATGTACTTCCAAGACTGACTTGCTCATTCTTCTGGCAGTCCATGATATATTCACTATTCTTTGCCAACACTACTTCAAATGCATCAACTCTTCTTTGAACTTCCTTATTCATTGTGCAGCTTTTGCATGCATATGAGACAATTGAAAATACCATGGCTTTGGTCACACCTTAGTCTTTTAAGTGACATATTTACTTTTGAACATTTTAAAGAGGTCTTTTGCAACAGATTTGTCCAGTGCAATATGTTGATTCCTGACTACTGCTTCCATGGGCATTGATTGTGAATCCAAATAAAATGAAATCTTTTACAACTTCAATCTTTTTGCCATTTATCAGGATGTTGCTTATTGAATCAGTTGGGAGGATTTTTGTTTTCTCAATGTTGTGGTGTAATCCATACTGAAGGCCGTGGTCTTTGATCTTCATCAGAAAGTATTTCAAGTATTTTTCACTTTCAGCAAGCAAGGTTGTGTTATCTGCATATTGCAAGCTGGTAATGAGTCTTCCTCCAATCCTGATGCAATGTTCTTCTTCATATAGTCCAGTTTCTTGGATTATTTGCTCAGCATATAGGTTGAGTAAATATGATGAAAGGATACAACCATGATGCACACCTTTCCTAATTTTAAATCACAAATTATATCCTTGTTCTGTTCAAATGACTGCCACATGAACACAATTATGTGTTATGGAATTCCCATCTTTGCAATGTTATCCATAATTTGTTATGATCCACACAGTCCAATGCCTTTGCATAGTCAGTAAAACACAGGTAAACTTCATTCTGGTAGGCTCTGCTGTCAGCCATGAAAAAATGATATCCCTTGCTCTATATCCTCTTCTGAATCTGATTCAAATTTCTGGCAGTTCCCTGTTGATAGATTCCTGCAACTGTTTTTAAATGTTGCTCAGCAAACTTTCACTTGTGTATGATATTAATGATATTGTTTGTATGTTATCTATACAGGCAGGATACTGTGCTGTGGTCCTCTATTCACAAGTTGACAGTACTTATATACTCACCACCTGTCTCCTTTCCTTTGTCAGCCTCTCATATGTCCTTGCTGACCCTGGCAAACAGAGCCTGTTCTTAGGTCCCTGGAATCCAAATGAGAATGCTATCACTTTAAAATCCAAAATGGTTGCCACTTGTAAAGATTCAAAATGGCTGTGCCCTTGGTCACTTTAAATATCCAAAATGGCCACCATTTGTGAACATTCAAAATGGCTGTGCCCCTGGTCACTTTAAATATCCAAAATGGCCACCATGTATAAACATTCAAAATGGTTGCACCCTTGGTCACTTTAAATATCCAAAATGCCTGCCACATGTAAACAATCAAAATGACTGTGCCCTCCAGACAGCAAAAATTCCACAGCTCAGGTTGTTTCCCTCCTTGCTGTTTCCCTTCCTAGTCATAGGCCACCACAGCAGTTGTCCCTGCAGCCCTTGGTGACCGGGACTGATCTTTAGGTCAATTCTCAGGTTCCAACACCACTTGGAAATATTCAGGCTGTTGGTTTTGTCAGAGTAGCTGACAGTCCACAGCTCCGACCATCTCTGTACTCACTGTTTTCATTCAGGTTTTTCCACTAGTTGGTGCCTAATCCACTTCTGTATAGTTCTTTTCAGAGCTCAGGGTTCCAGGATTATCTTCTGTTTCTCTGTCAATTGGTTTTTCTTTTCTTTGTTGAAGAGGGTCTGTGTCGCTTCTCTGCCTATTCCTCCATCTTACCGGAAGTGCTCTTTCCTGTCTTTTTAATGATCTTTTGCTTTCTTCATGTATGTTGTCCTTCTGGTCTTGAGTCATTGTTCAATGTGTCAAATCTATTCTTGAGATGGTCTCTAAATTTTGGGCCATGAAATATATATAACATAATAATAATAATAATAATATAATATAATATAATATGTATATTGTATATATTATGGTACCTTAAGTTCTCAAAATATAAACTAAAAATCAGTTGTCCTATTGAGAAGAGGGGGGTCCCAGGATAATACAAGAGTTTGTGCTGGACTACTAACTTAAAGATTGGCTGTTCAGACCTACCCAGTGGTATCACAGAAGAGCGAGCTGACAATCTACTTCTGTAAAGATCATAGCCAAGAAAACCCTATAGAACAGTTCTACTCTGTCACATGGGGTCACTGTGAGTTGGTATCAACTCTAAATTGTTTCTTTATAACCTTGTACCCAAGCAAATTTGCTGAATTCAGTTCTAGTTGGGAAGGAAAAAGGCAGGTTCATTTGTGACAGTCCTGGTGAAATGATGTTAACCAGATGCTTTCTTCTTGGTCCAGAGATGCTGTTGGGAAAGAAGTATATCGCCTTGCTCTTCAAACCAGGGAGCAACACATCCGGAGAGACAAGGCCACCAGCAATATCTGTACAGCTCAGGTAAATCATATACCTGGCCTGGCCAGTGAATGCCTTACAATCCACAGAAATAAGTTCCTCCTCCAGCCAATCATTCTTCATTCATTCATTCTCCACCGATTTAGCAGTGTACATACCAGAAATGGCGGGGTTTTATGGTGGAAAAGCCTCCTGGTCTTGTTAGAACAAAATGCAAAGTCTTTTACTGGTGTTCTGTGTAGTTACACATGTCACCTATGCAATCACATCAATAAAAGTATTTTAATGTAAAAGAAAGGAAAATGCTAGCTCATATATTCCCCTAAAATCCTATCTTTAGATCTGGAATTAGCCAAGCTTAGATAAAAGAGAAAGATGAAAATTGTTTACAATTATGATAAAATATATATAACAAAATATTTGTCATTTTAACCAAGAATCACAGGAGCCTTGGTAGCACAGTAGTAAAGTGCTTAGTTGCTAACTGAAATGTCAGCAGTTTGAACCCACCAGCTGTTCCATGGGAGGAAGCTATGGCAGTCTGGTTCCATGAAGATTTACAGGTTTGGAAACCTTACAGGGCAGTTCTACTCTGTCCTATACGGTGGCTATGAGTTGGAATTGACTTGACAGCAATAGGTTTTTTAGTTTTAACTGATAATCATATCTAATACTTAAGTGTACAATTTGTGACATTAATTACATTCACTGTGGTGTGGAATCATCACCACTATCTATTTCCAACAGCTTTTCATCACTCCAGACAGAAACTTCATGCCTCTTAAGAAAACATCCCCAACCATCCCCTGCCCCTGTTACTGATATCACAAAACCGCTTGCCATCTAGTTGATTCCAACTCATAGAGACCGTATAGGACAGAGCAGAACTGCCCCACAGGGTTATCAAGGCTGTAATCTTTATGGAACCAGACTGCCACATATGGAGTGGCTCGTTGGTTTGAACTGCCTACCTTTTGGTTAGCAGCTGAGCACTTAACTACTGAGCAACCAGAGCTCCTTCTTCCCTGGTAAGCACTAATAAACTTTGGTCTCTATGAATTTGTCTTTTCTAGATACTTCACATAAGTAAGACCAAATATTCATCTGTTGATGGGCTAGGGTGTTTCCATCATTTGGCTATTGTGAACAGTGCTGCAGTAAACACTGGTATATAAGCATCTGTGTGTGTTCCAGCTTTCAGTTCTTTTGGGTATACACAGTCAGTGCATGGGTTATGAACATCCAACTTACATACAACATTACGAACCAACTCCTGTAAAGCTTATTACATTAATAATTTGAGGTACGTACAATGGTTTATAATAACAAACACGCACTGTTTTGTGGTGTTCCTCAAAACATTATTACCGTGTTATATTTTAGTGCATCTGGAAGTGTTTCTTTAATGTTTTTTATGCATAGAAAGGTACACTGTATACTATATTTTAAGACAAACATTTGACTGATGTTAGATAGGAACCATACCTGTCTTTACTTATATACAAATTCTACTTAAAGATAATCTTAGGAACACAACTTGTTCATAATTTTGTGACTGCATGTCCCTAGGACAAGGACTGTTGGTCACATGGAGTTCTATGTTTAACTTCCTAAGGAACACCAGACTGATCTCCACATAGCAGCCATACTGTTTTGCATTCCCATCCCCAGTGGGTGAGGGTTCTGATTCCTCTACATTCTTTTTTGGTGGTGGTGTTCCATCTTTCATTGCAAGTGGTATATATTAAAGTCTCCTACTATAACTGAGCTCTGGTGGAATAGTGCCTAAGCCATTTGACTGCTAACTAGAAGGCTGGCAGTTCAAACCGCCCAGGCGGTCCTCAGAAGGAAGACTGGGCAATCTGCTTCCGTAGAGACACCACCTTGGAAATCTAAGGAGGGGTCCTATGAGTTGCAATCGACTCAACAGCAGTGAGTTTTTTTTTTTTTTTTTTTTTTCACTATGACTGAGGACAAATAATCTATTTGTCTCTTCAGTCTGATTTATGTATTTTGCGGCTCATCCATTGGGTGCATTGATATTTATTATGTGTCTTGTTCAAGCGATCCTTTAATCATTATATAATGCCCTTCTTTGTCTCTTATGGTGTTTCTTTTTTTTAAAATTCAATTTATCAGAAATTAATATTGACACTCATGCTCTTTTTTGATTGCCATTTGCTTGATGTATCTTTTTCCAACCTTTGATTTTTAGTCTATTTTTGTCTTTATCTGTAAGGTATGCTCTTGTAGACAGTATATTGATGGGTTATATTTTCTTATCCAGTCTGCAACTCTCTGTCTTTTGAGTGGTGCAGTTAATCCATTTACATTCAATGTAATTATCAACAAGAATTAATTTGTTCTTGTCATTTTGTTAAGTGTTTTTTCATGGTGTTGCTGATTTTTCTGGTCCATATAATTTTCTGTGCTAAGCCTCATTTTGTTTATGAATTGTATTATCATTTCCTTTGTTGCTATTGTTTTAGCGTTTGTGCTAAATATTTATGCTTGTTTTCTTTTTTATTTTGATGCAAAGGTTTATCATTTTTCATTGTGGTTACCCTGTGATTTAAAATTTCCTTCCCATGTTTAGAACAGTCCAGTCTGTCTTGCAATTGTCTTGCCTTCCTCACCATTTAGAAATTCTGTAACAACATTATTTTTCCCTCTTTTTGGTTTGTAATTGTCCCATTTGCCAATCAATGTCTGTGGTTCCCTGTTTACAATCTTGTAAACTTATTTTACTTTGGATACTTCCATAAGTGGCTTTGCTTCTGGGTTATGTCATCACATGTGTTAATGGTTGGTTGTTGTTGATTCTCTGTTCAAAGGACTCCATTTAGCATCTCTTGTAAGGCTGGTCTGGTTTTAATGAATTCCCTTAATTTTTGCTTATCTGGAAATGTCCTAATTTCACCATCACATTTGAGAGACAGTTTTGCTGGGAATATAATTCTTGGTTGGAAATTTTTTCTTCCAGGGTATACCATCCCGTGCCTTCTCACCTGCAGGGTTTCTAGCCAAGAAATCAGAGCTTTAGTCTTATTGGTTATCCTTTGTAGATAACTTTTTGTTTTTCCTGTGCTGCTTTCAGGATTCTTTCTTTGTCTTTGGTTTTGGTGAGTTTGATGATGATATATCTTGGCGATTTCCTTTTGGGGTCTATCCTATTTAGATCCTTGAATAGATATATTCTCATTTTGCATCATATTAGGGAAATTCTCTTCCAACAAATCTTTGACAATTTCTCTGTGGTTTTATTTGTGGAACTCTGATTACTCGTAGGTTTTTCCTCTTGATGGTATCCCATGTGAATCTTAGACTTTCTTCATTTAGTTTTGATCTTTTTTCTGATTGATCCCTTTCCAAAGAAGTATTAAGGTATTTGTCTTCAATCTCATTAGTTCTGTCTTTCATTGATTCGATTCTACTCCTTTGCCCATTTAATGTATTATCTGTTTCTGAAAATTTAATGTTAACCTTCTGGATTTCTTTTTGTAGATTTTGTATCATTTCTAATTTTTCATTTATTTGTCCTTGTTTTGTCTTCTGAAATTGTTCCAGGGTTTTCTCTGTGTTTTACTTAATTGTGTCATTGTTTTCCCTAATCTGTCTCTCAATCATTTGAAGGTACCTAAATATAATTCTTTTGAAATCCTTATCAGGGAGTTCCAATGCTGCTGCTTCCTCAGGGATGCATTCTCGGTCTGTATTCTGGTCTCTTGTTTTTACTGCTTTATCTTGCTTCTTTCTGTGGTCTGTGATGGTCTGTTGTCTCCAAGATATTATGACATTGTTGTATTTATATTTAATTGATGGTTGTATGTTGGATTTTAGTTTTCTTTGTTTTGTTTGGATGTATCTGAGTAGGCAGGGTACTATGCTCCTTATTGGCTAGTTGGCAGCACTTACACACTTACCACCTATCTCCTTTCCACTTGTCAGCATCTAGTATGTCATGCTGTCCCTGGCAACCAGAGCCTATTCTTAGGTCCCTGGAGTCTGAACAAGAATGCTGTCACTTTAAATATCCAAAATGGCCACCATTTGTAAGCACTCAAAATGGCTGCACCCTCTAGACAGCCGAAAGTCCACAGTTCTGTTTGTCTCCTTCTTTGCTGTTTCCCTTTTTAGTCATCAGGCACCAGTGCCATAATCCATGTAGCCCTTGGTGAGCAGGGCTGATTTTTAGGTTAGTTCTCAGATCCTAACACCACTTAGAAATATTCAAACTGTCCATGCCATCAGGATAGCTGACAGTCTGCAACTCTATTTGTCTCCTTATTCACTATTTTCATTCAGGTTCTTCTACTTGTTGGTATTTAATCCACTTCCGTATCCTTCCTTTCAAAGCTCAGGGCTCCAGGATTATTTTCTGTTTCAGTGTCAATTTCTCTTTTCTTTATTGAAGAGGGTCTGTGTAGCTTGTCTGCCTATTCTGCCATCTTATCAGAAATCCCACTGATTCCTCCATGTTCTTGCCAACATTTGTTATTTTTGCCATCCTCTTTTATTGACCCTGGGTGCCATCACAAGGAGCCCTGTTGGCACAGTGGTTAAATGCTTGCCTGCTAACCAAAAGACTGATGATTCAATGCCACCAGTGGCTTTGTAGGAGAAAGGTGTTCCAGTCTGCTTCTATAAATATTGAAGCCTTGGAAACTCTATAGGCCAGCTCTACTCTGTTCTATTGGGTTTCTATGAGGCAGCCTTCATGGTAACGGGTTTTTGTTTTTATTTTGTTGTTGTCATCACAGTGGATCCCTTCTTTATACACAATGCAGGACTCACTCACTGAAGCCTCTTTACCAGAGGTAAGATATCCTTTATTTCAGAAAGAAGCCAGTGTCATCCCTTTTCATTTTCTGTCACAGTAGAACACTTGTTGTTAGGTGTCATCGAGTCAGCTCCAACTCACAGTGACCCTATGTACAACAGAACAAAATACTGTCCCATCCTCCAACAGCCTCATAATTCTTGCTGTATGTGAGCACTGTTGCAGCCACTGTGTCAATCCATCTTGTTGAGGGCCTTCCCCTTTTTCAATGACCCTCTACTTTACCAAGCTTGATGTCTTCCCTGCAAATATTCTTCTGAAACCTCAATTCAGTGGTCAGGAGAGATATTTCTACCTTGCTGCCAGCTGGGAATAAACCAATAGATTCTGATTTTCTCTTTCTTATATATTTACTGACAATTTGGTTTGGTTTGGTTTGGTTTCCCGTGTCCCATGTCTTCATCTGTGCCAGTCCTTTGCTACAGACTCTCCATTTACTTCTTGGTTGGCTGGAATTTAGCATCTAGAGCGTTACTTAAGTCCTCAGGAGAATTGTACAGTAAAACCTGTGAAAGACAGAACCTATGTAAGGTGGAAATGTATCAGCGAAGGGAAACTCAAATGTTTCCCACTAAAATAAGCAATAGAAAAGTGGTAAGACTGTACCCTGTCAAAGGTGGAAAACTTGTGAGACCCAGAAAAACAAGGTAGTCTGTTATGTTCTGGTTCTCACAGTTATTGTGTGTTTGAAAATCTATTGTTGTTTTTATCCTTGAAAAACTGCTTGAGTATCAGATTCTTGGATTTCACTTTATTATTTTCCTGAGGACTTTATTGCTTAACTGTCTTCCAATGTTAAATACTGTTTCTTAATGTCATTTTCCCCCATTATGGGTGACATGCTTACATTGGCTGGATGAGACCCCTTTATAATGGTGGACTTTGGAGATTTAGTCTAGTGACTCCAAGATATCTTGGCTGCTGTGTTTCCCCCTCAGGTAAGTAGGCAGGTTGCAATTGGCCTTCACCAATGAATGAAAGAGATTGGATACTCTTGTCTCTGTTTTCAATTTTGGCATCCCAAGTCAAGTCTCTGTGTCCTTTTAGGCCCTCTTGGCGAATATGGCTGCCATGTTTGCAATATACCATGGTTCCCGCGGGCTGGAGCAAATTGCAAGGAGGGTACATAATGCCACTCTAATTTTGTCTGAAGGTGAGTCAGCTGTCTGTTTAAAAACATTAGGTCATGGCATGACTCATAAATTTAAGTAAAATGAGAAACTCACTTTGTGTCCAACACTGTGTGCAAAATTAATTGTCAAGAAAGAAACTTGGAGAAAAATTTCAGCATCTGTAACAGACTGAGGATTAGTATTTATAATATAAAGAGCTCTTACTTATTCTTCCTAATCTTCCAAACAAGAAGGATGACCACTGTGATAGAAAAAATGTGGAGGAACCATTTTAAACATTTTAAAGTGTAATTGATATGTTAGGACAGGGGAGAAAATAGAACTATACAAATCACCTAATTAGAACTGAGAACACCAGAAAATAGAAATGCAAAGCTGTTCATAACCTATTAAAGTTATTTTCACAGGGAGGATGTGAGAAGAGTGCTACATGGTAGGGACTGAATGGAATGCCAAAAAACAAAATGTATAAGAATTGTTGAATGGAAAACCAATTTATTCTGTAAACTTTTACCCAAATCATAATTAAAATAAATAAATAAATACACACACACATACACACAAAGTTATTTTAAAATTCATATATATAACACATAGACACATGCACATCACTTCTAGGGGAACATAAATAAAAATGTAAACCGCAGTTATTTTGGGATAGCAATTATGGTGACTTTTCTTCTCGTTTTATATATATTTCATAATTTTCTATAGCCCAGTAGTAAGAATACTTAAATTTGTTTTTGTTTTTTAAAGAAGCAGCCACCAAAATACTAGCCAGGACCAAGACCAGACTGTAGTAGACTTTATCCTTTATTTCTCCATGAAATGTCAATGGCAGACAAGCAAGAGGTTTTTGGGTAGAGATTCTTGGCTCTCCTGTCTTCTTTAGGTCTCAAGCGTGCAGGGCATCAACTCCAGCATGACTTGTTCTTCGACACCTTGAAGGTTCAGTGTGGCTGCTCAGTAAAGGAAGTCTTGGATAGGGCCACTCAGCAGCAAATCAATTTCCGGCTCTTTGAGGATGGCACAGTAAGTCAAATTTCCATTGTTTTTACAAATTCTCTAAGTTTCATGACTTTTCTCATTAAGAGGTTTCCTGTTTATATTTTTTGAAAATCAATATTGGAAAAATATCAATAATGAAACTTTGGGTACAGTCAATTTTTTTGTCAATATTTTTCATTTCAATCTGGAGTACTGTGACTGTCTGTGGTGTAGTAAATTACATGGTATGGCTTTTCTAGCTGTTCTGGTTACCTAGTACTGCTCTGACAAGAATATACCACAAATGGGATGGTCTTAACAAACAAGAGTTTATTCTCATACAGTTCAGGAGGCTAGAAGTCCAAGTTCAAAGTGCCAGGCTCTAGGGGCTGTATGAAAGCCCCTCGACCTTGGGCTTCAGCTCTGCCTCCAGCTCCCAGCCCACTGAAGCTAGAGGTGTTTCTTCACTCAGATAGCTGCTGGGTGCTGAAGCTGCCAAGCCAAGGATGACAAATAAAAAGGCACAGTCCCAGTGTTACCAAACCACATGGCAGGCTAACTCAAGTCCATTGTAAAGTCCTAGGGCAGCAGAGCATGGCAGGCTGCTGAATGATGACATGGCTACATGCAGAGTCCAAGCGTGCCATCAGCTAGAGACCATTCCCCAAGGCTTCTGCTTATATACAGGTAGTAGGCCAGATTCCCTAAGGGAGCTACTCAGCTGCCCACAGTAGATTCCACCTTGGAGCTGATTACTAGTCTCATCATGGGGAATACTACATCCAGCTGCTCAGCTACTCAACCAGGCCCAGCCAAGTTGACACACAAACTTAACTACCACTAGCCATAGTCTTTGTAACTCCCACTGGATTACTGGCTGACCAAACCAAAAACCAAACTCACTGCCATCAAGTTGGATCTGACCCATAGCGATCCCTCCTTGGGTTTCCAAGGCAGTATCACTATGGAAGTAGATTGCCCAATCTTCCTTCCAAGGAGTGGCTGATGGGTTTGAACTACCAGGCTTCTGGTTAGTAGAAAAAAACAGGCCTTGGGCTGCTGATAGTGATTCTGTCTTCCTCTTGTGAAGTTAGAGGAGGTCAGAAGATGCTGCCTCCCTGTTCCTTTAGCAGTTGGTGTCAGAAGTGGGATTCATTGCAGTGGCTCCAGACTCATAGAAGCATGGGACTTTGTAAATGAAAAAGGAAGGGGCCTGGGAAGTGAAACTCTGGATTCTCAGATGGTTCCTTTGGTTGGTGTTACCTGTAATGGTGGAATATAGAGACATTAAGCTGGAGCTGAGGGGAGAAAAGCCTGAGGCAAGAGCCAGGCCAATTAAAGGAGATAATTGATTCAGAGGCTAGGGCTTTTGGTTACACCCAGCCAAAAGCCCAAGGCTATACACATAGAATGGGAAGATTATCAAGGTGAAGAGATGAAACTGGAATGTGTTAAATAGAATAATGTGTTTTGGTTATGTGTTTATCTGAATGAACTATGGGTATCGAATGCTCTCTCACCTACTTGTACATTAGAAATGATTATGGGGTAATAACAAAGAACAAGTCCACCTTCAGCCAATACTTGATTGGACATATTAAAAGGGGAATTAAAATTTGCCCAGAAGAAACATAGGCTTTTGTTTCAAACTCTATGTGTAGAGTATGGGGTAGAAAACCTAAGCTCCACCCAGAACCTGCTGTGTGAGGAAATTTGCATTTGAAAAGACTCAACTAGAACTACTGAGAGAACAGAAGATTTGCATTTGAAGAGAGGACCTGCAAGAAAAAATGTTAAGCAAGCAGTTAGGCTTTGAGTGCAAGGAGGCAGGAAAGTCATGGTCCATGAGAGAAACTCCTTCTAGGACTGGAAGTTAAAGGAAGCTGCCAAGTAGATCATGGCCTTGTATGCTACTCACTTGTGACACCTGGGTCCACTTGAGTGGAAGGGGGAAGTGCAGCAATGAAGAAATGGGCTGAGTTTGGTTCTCTTTGACATAGCCGATGGAGGCTGGGGATGAGAGGAAGAGTTGGCTGGTCTGAAGTGCAAGAAGCTGTGAGTATACAGGCATGAAATAGTCCCTGAGGACTAAGGATAAGAGAAAGGAGGTGCTGGCTGGTCTGGAGTGAGGGAGGAATGTGACTCCCCAACTTGCAGGTGGTACCCATGACCTAGCTGGGATGGCTAGGGCTGAGCTGACCAGAACCTGACCAAATTAAGAGGAAGATGTTTGACACTGAACTGGTGTTAAGTTGCTGTAATCTGATAGGTTGAGCTGGTCTGGACTTTGCTTGTTTATGGATGCAGATGCCCAAAGTTTCCAGCAGAACAGAAGATTCTCCAGAGAGAAAACATGCTTATCTCCTTAGAGTACTGATTTGATAGTGATGGGCAAATTAGAAATTGGCTATCTAAAATGGGGGGAGATAAAGGCATTTAGTGGCTGGCTTACACACTTTCATGGATGTGGTTATTCTTAAACTGATGGTGAAGGGGATGTTAATTTTTGAAGTATAAAAGAGAAAATGGCTAGAAAAGCCAGGGGGTGGCCTGTGGTGTAGTAAATTACATGGTATGGCTTTTCTAGCCATAGTCTTTGTAACTCCCACTGGATTACTAGGTGGGACCATGCAATTTAAACTCCTGATTGTTAAAATCATCCACCTGGAGTATTTCTGTTGGAGCAGCAGGAAGTAATCTTCTGGGAAAATTTGCTCTATCTCAGGTGTGTAGAACTCTGATGTTGGGGTTGGTTGGTTTTGCCACTCGGCCAGGCGTAAAATGAGTCCACCTAGAGGCAGAAGGAATCAGACTGCCAGCTGAGAGAAACACGCTGCTGACAGAGAGAGAGAGAGAGAGATGCCCGGCTGAGAGAGGGATGCCCAATTCAGAGAATGCCTGGCTGAGAGATGGTAGCAGTGGAACCAAGAGGCATGAGACAGAGCAGCAGGTTTACCTGGCCCACAGAGGCAGAGGCCAGGCCAAGAGGCCAAGGGCCAGAGAGGCGTGTCTAAGGGCACAGCAGAGGAGAGACTGTCCTGACTGAAGAACTGTATTCTGAGCATGTTCCTGAATTTGAATTGTAGCCTGTTGCTTCCCTAATAAATCCCATAATCTATGAGTTCTGTGTGGCCACTGCAATGAATTATCGAACCCAGAAGAGAAGTGGTGGGTGCTATGGGAGAGATGGTTGGTGTCAAGATTGGTAAGAGGGCTGGAGGGTGGCGGCACACTTGGCTTCATAGGAACAGGCCTTGGGCTGCTGATAGTGATTCTGTCTTCCTCTTGTGAAGTTAGAGGAGGTCAGAAGATGCCACCTCCCTGCCCCTGTAGCACTGTTTCAAAGAAGGGATAATCCATCCTCAGTTTTCCTTAATACATATTTTCCTAAGGGACTCAAAGGCACCTATTTTGCTCAAGATTCCTGTGAATCTCTTCACAATATTACTGTTAAAAGTAAAGGTATGATTAGTGTTATCATTAAGTAAGTTAAGGGATGAAAAAGATAAACATATCCAGTACCACATAGGAGTGCCCTCCAGCCATTGGCCAGTCCAGAGCTGGCTTGCAAAACCAAACCATGTGAACTCTAGAACTGGTCCAGTTGGCTTTCCCTGAAGGCCAACTTGGACACAATGATATTCTGATATTTTGGACAGATTGAGTTTTGTCCAACACCTTCTCAACCTTTGACTTCTTTTGGGGATTCTCCAGTGGTCTTAAAGTTGAAAACTGATTGATGTTTTTTTCTTTTTTTTCATTTTCATAGCTTGGTATTTCTCTTGACGAGACAGTTAATGAGAAAGATCTGGATGACTTGCTGTGGATCTTTGGCTGTGAGTCATCTGCAGTAAGTAAAATAAAAACACAGATTCCTCCAAAATGGGATTCTTAATGACTATCTGAGGTGATGTCAAAGCTGGCTTTGCCTCTTGTGAATCTGAGTATGGCAGAGAAGTGGTCCTTGCCTCTAGAACTGTGCACTAAATTTAATCACAGCGATTGCTCCATGTATTTGACTAATATTTGTGGAGCAGAACCCACACAGGGCTCTAGATGGCTATACTATTAGCCTGGGACAGAATAAGAACATTCATTGGGTGTTCTCTAAGATATAAGCTCTGTGTCAGGTGAGAATCCTTATTTGAATAGCATCTCCTAATAACTTATTTCACAGCCCTTTACTGAAACTTGTTTCACTACTTAGTGAACATGAGGAAGATGTCAATTTTTTTGCAGTAAAAATTGCACATTTTTTCTATATCCTGTTGCAGAGGTCAATAGAACTTAGAGGGTGCTCTGGAGAATTTCCACAATTCATAACTTCTGACACCCATTACCATACCATAGAAAACATCCAGTCAGGTGATTTCCTACACTCTGACAGAATACAGACTCAGGTTGTGTGGCTTTGAAGTTTGAATGTCTCCACAGAGCTCCAGTCATGGTTCTTGCCCTTGAGTTTCTGTGGTCTCTCTATGTAGGAACTGGTTGCTGAAAGCATGGGAGAAGAGCAGAGAGGTATCCCAGGGACTACATTCAAGAGAACTAGCCCGTTCCTCACACATCAAGTGTTTAACAGGTTTGTGAGCTTTTGTGACTCCTGTATTTTGTGCTGTGGCAATAAAGCTGGGGAGCTGCTTGAGACCTCAACTGTAATGTGGCCAGAGTTATTGGAATGAGGCATTGCTCACTAATAAATCCTATTGTTAGTTGCTGTCAAGATGGCTCTGACTCATGGTGACATTTTGTATAAGAGAATGAGACATTGCCCAGTCCTGTGCCATCTTCATGATCTTTGTTACATTTAAGTCCATTGCTGTGGCTCTTGTGTCAATCCATCTTATTGAGGGTTTCCTTTGTTTTTGTTGAACCTCTACTTTACAAACCATGTCCTTTTCTAGTCGTTGGTCTTTCTTGATGATATGCCCAAAGTGAGTGAAGTCTCACCATCTTCTTTTCTAACGAACATTGTGGTTATTTCTTTTTGTCATTTGTGTGAAAGTTTACAAACTAAATTCATTTTCCATTCAATAGTTCATATACATTTTGTTTTGTGACATTGACTGTAATTCCTACAATGTAATAGCTCTCTTCCCACTTCTTTGTGATTACCTTTTTCCCTGTGTCCTTCTTTCCTGTACATTCCTGCCTTTTGAGCTTTCTCTCTATACAAATGCTGCCCTTCTGATCTCCTGTGGTTGATTGCTCTAAGGAGTGCACCTCCCTGGTGTAATTTTTCACGTCATAGGCCTCTCTATCATTTGTCTTAAGGTTAAGCCCCTGGAGTGAGTTCCATTCCAGGCCTGAAGGGTGACTAGGGGCATAGTCTCGGGGTTTCACCAGTTGTGTCAATCCATCTTATTGAAGGTTTCCCTTGTTTTTGTTGAACCTCTACTTTACAAACCATGTCCTGTTCTAGTAAGTTCAGACTAGTAAGTTCTGGTTGTATATCTTATAAAATTGATTGTCTGTTCTTTTTACAGTCTATGGCATATTCGGTATTCTTTGGCAGCACCACAATTTGAGTGCATCATTTCTCCTGTCTTTCTTTTTTATTGTCAAGCTTCTACATGCACTTGAGGTGATTGAGAAGGATATGGCTTAGGTCACATACACCTTAGTCATCAAATAAGCCATAGCTGTGAAGATCCTATCCCTGACTTGGGCAAAGAACACCTTCTTATCAGGTGCCTCTGCTCCCTTGATATTGTTAGGGAGAGGGAGTTTGGTTTTGTACAGGCTAAAGTTCACACCCATGACCTTGATATCCTCCTCTTCCCAAGCTGAATCTTATACCCACAGGCAACTTCTTGTCAGGCACCCTCTGATGCTCACAGAGGATGATGGTCATCCTCTGAAATCACAAAGGTTCTATGTTTTTCCCCTAAAGCACTATTGACATGTTGTCCATGATCCTGTTCAATCTGCATTTTGCAGGTAGAGCTCAGTGTGTCTTACCTTTCAGGAGGGTGTGTGTGGACTCATCTAATTTTATTGACCTGAATCATATGCTTTGTGTTCATAGCTATCACTCAGAAACAAATATCATCCGGTACATGAAGAGACTGGAAAACAAAGACATTTCCCTTGTTCACAGCATGATTCCACTGGTACTTATTACCCTTCTTCCTATTTCCAAACCTACCCTGATCCCCACCTCTGTGGGTCCTATCCAATGTGCTGCAGGAGGGATTAAAGGGTGGCTGCATGGGAAGCTATGAGGCTTGATGGGTGGCCTTTAAGGAATCACTAATGTGATGCATTTTGGATGTGTTTCTTAAAGGGATCCTGTACCATGAAGCTCAACAGTTCCTCTGAACTCACAGTAAGTAGGTCTCTATCAGTGTTCAGATGTATGTAAGCAGATAACTAGATAAAGCTACTGGGACAGGGATTCAGCACCTCTTTTAATAATCCTTCACATTGCTATTCAACTGTCTTGGAGGGAAACCCTAGTAATTCTCAAAATTTGATCATCTAAGTTTCTGGGTAAAATTATTTTTTTTTTAATTAAAAGAATTAAGTATATAGTATTTGTCTTCTTACCCTTCTCAGAAAAGAAAAAAAAAGAAAAACCACCAACCTGCTATATTTAAGCTTTTATTGTATCAATTTCTAGCTCTTAAGCTTAGGTAGAATTAAGAACCTTAAGCCTTTTTTCTAGAAATCCACCCACTGTGCCAGAAGTGTAAAGATTTGGGGTTTTAATTTACTTCTTGTGTCAACATATTTGTATAACTTGCCATTGTTGTTGGCAAGAATCTCTACTGGGCCAGGATTCATTTAGTGAAGCTAACTTGCTTGTTCCTTTTATTTCTTAGAATTATTATGATGTGAGAAATTATATCAGGCAAAGAACATCATTTTATATAATGATAGGAATAGTTTTCTCCATTTCCTTTTAGTTTTGTGTCTTGCTCTGCTTGACGAAGAGAAAGAACATGCGTGCTATGTGAGAGTTTGAGTAAACCATAACTGAGACAATTCATTAGGTCTCATGGGCAAAAATGTAGTTTAAGACCTTTTGGGAGCTCTGGTAATGTAGTGCCTAAGGCACTTGACTGCTAACCAGAAGGCTGGCTGTTCAAACCCACCAGCCACTCCTTGGAAGGAAGACTGGGCAATCTACTTCTGTAGTGATACTGCCTTGGAAACCCAGGGAGGGTAGCTATGAGTTGGATCTGACTCAATGGCAGTGAGTTTGGTTTTAGAGTTTTTAAAGACCTTTTGGTTTCTGAAAATATAGAAAAAGCATCTATTTTCATGTATACTTCCTTTCTGGGCCTCTGTGTCCTATGTGTAAAATGAAGATAGTAATGTACCTCATAAGATTGTGGTGAAGCTTAAATGAGTTAGTATAAAGTGCTTACAACAGTGTAGTTCATATAGTAGGAACTCAGTGTAAGCTATTGCTATCATCATCATCATTATAGTTGGTATTACATACACACACACACACACATATGTATAGATTTTTCCTCTTCTTGCTCTTCAGCCAATTACATGGAAAGAATTTGCAAATATCCACCCCTTTGTTCCTCTGGACCAAGCTCAAGGGTACCAGCAGCTTTTCCAAGAGCTTGAAAAAGATTTGTGTGAACTTACGGGCTATGACCGAATCTCTTTCCAACCTAACAGGTAAGAGGACTTCTGCTGTTGTTTCAGCCATCTATTGTTGTATAACAACCCACCCTAGAACTTACAAGTTTAAAACAATTTATTATTTGCATGATTTTGTTGAGTGGACTCTTGCATTTCACATGGTGTTAGCTGGTATGATGGAATGGCTAAAAGTTCCAAAATGGCTTCCTTCGCATGGTTGGCAAGTCAGTATATGTATCAAGTCATTTTACATAATGATAAGAATGTTTTTCTCCGTTTCCTTTTAGTTTTGTGTCTTCCCCTGCTAGTTGAAGAGAACATATGTGCTATGGGCTGGTGGCTAGAAGCTCAGTTGAGGATGTTAGCTAGGGTCTTGGTTCTTCCCCATGTGGACCTCCCCACATGGTCGCTTGAGCTTCTTCATGGCATGACATCTAGGTTCAAAACTGAGTGTTCCAAGTAAAGGATGTAGAAGTTGCAGACCTCTTAAGGCATAGCTCTGCATTTCCACAGCAGCACTTCTGGAGTGTTCTGTTAAAGCAAGTCAGAAGATTAGCACCAATTCAGTGTGGGAGGGGATAGGAGTATGAATGGGAGGCGTGGTTCATTGTGTGCCATCTTGGGAACTACCTACTATACCTTTCAGTGACATAGCATATGAGAATAAGAATAAAGCACACATGTTAACTCTTAACAAGCGGCATAGATTCAATATAGGAGGGCGGAAAGACCTTGGATCTTGCTTTGGTTCTGTCACTAACTTTGAAAGGTCCCTCCCCCTCTTCTGGCCTCATTTATTTTGCCTGTAAAATAAAAACTCTGAAGAGGAGCAGTACTTTTTAAAGCACAGGGTTCCATCAAAATCTCATAGGCACTTAAAAAATACAAATTCCTGCACCTTACTCCATAGCTTCTGGGCATAACCTCCAGGGATAGAGAGAAAGAATCTTTATTTTTAACAAGCAAGGCAAGTGATTCTGATATGCAGCCAGATTTGGAGTCCACTGGATTTGTGATTTCTCTACTTTCTAGGGGTGGATAAATATATAGAGAAATGAATTAAATACTGGTACATTATCTGTAGGTGAGATAACATTGTAGGATGTGTTCAGGAGTCACTTCTGCCCCTAGGTGCTCTAGCTCCTACTACTCAAAAGTTTAATTCTCCACCAGCAGCTTTAACATTGGCATCACCACAGTTTGTTAGATAATTTTCTATTTCAATATCTCAAAATCAAAGATATTTTGAAACTGAGACTTTTACAATCTCACTCTCTGATAAGAGTGCTGCCCGGAATTGAGTACAGTTTTAATCAGACATAATCAAGACCTACCTCCTCTTCGGTAACAGTAAAGCCAGACACTTTGTAAAAACAATGCACACTATTAAAATTCAAACCCATTAGGAAGTGGGCATATGGACAATGAAAAGATAGAGCTTGGTCAATAATAGCCTCTCAAACAAATGTCATCATTTAGCATTTGTTTGCTTGCTTTTTTTTTTTTTTTTTTTTTTGAGGGAAGAATCTATTAAAATTCAAACCCATTAGGAAGTGGGCATATGGACAATGAAAAGATAGAGCTTGGTCAATAATAGCCTCTCAAACAAATGTCATCATTTA